AGTCTTCGACGTAGACCGCATTTTAATCTTTGTTTTGCGTAAATTGCAGTTGATCATGTGAAATATCCACTCCTGTACATCCTTTGCAATATCATCAGACGATCTCTTGTCGGTGGAAAGACTGTAAAGCCGCGCGATGCGTGATATCACAACAGATGGCGGTAATGAACAAATTTAGTTTGTGATCTAGTCAGAAGAAGATGCTGTGCTGCTTCAATGCATTACAGGCTCGTGACTCGTCAGAACGCAAAACGGAATGTAGCGTTTGGTCGCGCTACACCGATGGAAAAATCGCTAGCTACAGGAAAAGCTACACTGTTTTAAAAGTAGCGTCGCTACTGTAAAGCTACTGAAAAATGTAGTTAAGCTAGTAGCGTCGCTACTTGTAGCTAGCTACTCCCCAACACTGCAACTCGGTAACTTTGTGGAAGAATTAGATGTGCTGCTCTCAACCTTTCCTGAGGATGGTAAGCTACTCCCCAACACTGGTAATAAATGCATATACACTGTTGGACATTGTTAGTGGACAAATTAAATAAACTAGCCACAGTGTGAAAAGTGCTTTTTGAGAGTCTATTTTGTAAAAGTTGCCACAAATTGACAGAGGTTTTAACCTTGAACAGTCTTTTAACATCCTCTCAAAGTTAAAGCACTTGCACAGTCATCGTCATTTTTTTCTGACATTTATCTTTCATTTATCTGACATTTTTCTGACATTTATCTAAATCCTCAACATGTCCCATGGCATTACCTTTCTGATGGACTGACTGTCAGGTATCGTGGGGGAGGAGGTGAGGGGGTAATGAGGGTGGAAGAGCGTTTTCTCATGAGGGAACATGGCGATCTCATTCTGCCTGTAAAGTCTGTGGTGACGGAGCTTAGAGACCCATTCATCAAACAGCTCCTGGGACTTGATCTGCAAGGACAAAGAGACCAGAGTTAAAAGTTCAGGATAAAGGAAACCTACTCAATCAGGATTCAGAAGCTGTTTTTCCTGACACTGTGTGTCTGCACTTTAAAATGGTCCAGATGAAGGTTGACCTCATGACTTTGAATTTGAAGGACCTGATTCCCATTCCTGAGATCAAGAGTTCAGAACGCACTTGGAGAAAAACAAATGAAAGCCGACAAAACCTATTTGGTCCCTTAAACGATTCTCTTTAAAAGAGGATTCTCTACTTGGAAGCAGAATTTCATTTGAGAGTTAAACTCTCTGTGGGGGTTTGCAATGATTTGCTAAAAGCTTTAAACAAGATAACAATATATACTCATAACAGTATAATTTAACAGTATTAATCATAATAACCTATAAGACAAGATTAATAAAAAAAATTTTTTTTTTTTAAATAGCACCAACCAGGGTTGGACAAAAAAGACGATACTGCAATTAAAAGAAATTCAGCACAAGAATTTCAATGTGTCTAAACAAATCATAAATAATCACATTATTCATTTAGAAAATTATGCCTATTTATTTATAAATTCATATTAAGCAATTTCATACTGACAAAAAAATGCTGTTTCTAGAACTAGTATTTGAAGTTTAAGGGTAATATGCATTGAAAATTTGAGTTCAATTCTAAATTTAATTAACTAATGTAATTAACTAGTGTAATTATTAACTACTGTAATTCTACTTAAATTCTAATTACAAGAGCAATTCAAAAGTAAGTGCAATTACACTTAATTACAATTAAATTCAGAATTAAATTCAATGCACATTTTAATGCATATACCATCATAACCTCTCAGTGCTACTTTAATATAAGGCTAAAGCTAACCTAATGTACAATCATAATGAAACATGTTCCAGTAAAACTGCAGCAAAATTACAGGATGCACCAATCTCCACTAATGCTTTTCCTGTGACCGCAGAGCATTCTGACTCTGAGGTCAGTCTAATATTATAATTGTTGTGATACCTTCAGGTGATAAATGTTTTCTTCGGCGTCCAGATCAATGCACTTGGCTTTCTTCTTAATGGCCATGACGGACAACCCCACATCAATGCACCCATGGAGCTTGCCTTTCTCGACCTGCACACAGCACAGACAGAAGGTTTGACCTATAAAAAAATCACCGCTACCTCGTATATCAACACAACAGATGCTACTTTGTTGCAACATACTCAAATTACTACTGAGCAAATATATTTCTCCTGGTTAAACCTCAAATGAATATAGATTCAAATTGAATTCTTGGCTCTTGTGCTTTTCAACAAATAATGAAATCTACTGCATCCTTTCAAAAATACAACAGAGTGAGACAGCCCTAGTCATCCCATCTTACTGTGGCTATTAGGTTTGCATGAATGACATAAAAGTAGGGATGAGAATTGTGAAGAATTTAAGGATTTGGTTCCATTAACGAATCTTTTCAGTATTTATAAGGATAAATATTTAAAAAAGAGAAGAAATTCAGGTGCCAAATAACAATTACATTTACATTGCCAGTTACATTTAATAATAAATCAAATACAATTCTTGCAAAAGATGTATATACTCACCAAAGGCGGCATAAATGTAATCCAACAATAGGCCTTAATTATATATTAAACATATATGTGGTAAATATATATATATATATTGTGGCGAGTATCCCGAGTCCAGATTAGC